TAAAAAAAACAAAATGATGCATTATGATATATGATATTATCATATATTTAATATTTATTAAAATAATAATGAGATTAAACTATATTATATTAATAAATAAATTAACATTAAATTAACTTGGTTTTAAATTTAAACTAGGATAGGAATTTTAAGAAAGCTCTTGCATTTATTTGTATATTTAATTTTTATTGTTATGTCATTTCTTATCATTTTAATACTTATTGCTAATTTTTAACATGATTTGTCAATTTCAATAGCAAATTTTACATTTGACATTATTTTATGCAAATAATTTTACCAAACATTTTACTGCTTTCATATCAAAAGTGCTTTTATTAGAAGTCCTTGCAATTCTCTAACACCACTTAAGTCAATCAAACTCTAAATTTTCTTTGTATAATTTGTTTTATTTTTTAGTTTTATTTCAATTTTTAAATGTTAAGTTATATCAATAATTTTGTTGTTTTCTTCAAGCAGTTATTTCTGTTTTCTTGTTCTGTAACATATTACGTTAGTATTGGAGGACTAAATAGGAGGAAGCAAATATGAAACAAAGTTTTTGAGTATTTTATTACCCTAAAAATTTAAAGGAATCTCTTCTTATAAGTCGCTAATATTAAGATGTCAAAGGGTTCTTTCTCAATGAGCCCTTACAACAAAACCATAACAAAATCCAATCTAGGGGACATAACATGGAGCATTTGCCTTGGTGCACTGGCCTCTCTAGTGCATAGTCTCTCTTTTCCAGTGGTTGCCTCATTTTTACATATATCATATAGAGTTCGTCAAGTTTGTGCCTCATGGATAGTTTCTCTTGTTCATGGGTGGTGCCTACTTGGTTTGGATGTAAATTGCATATTTAAAAAAAAATTGTAATGTATTTTTCCAAAAATCTTTCTTTCCTTTTTTGGCCTAACCAGAATTTGAACATTGACTATTTGGCGTGGGCTGTTTTTGCTGGCATGTGGATGATCTGGCTGGAACAGAATGCCAGAATCTTCAGGCACTATAAGTTATCTTTTTTATTCATTGGGATAAAATTTGTTTCTAAGGATGTTTCTTTACCAGTTACATATCTGTTGGTCGGTTCTTCTCTCTATTAAGTAGCTAACCTCCTCCCTTCTGTTTGTTTTGTTTTCTTTGGGAGGATATCTAATCCTCCTTGTTTGTATCTTCTTCTTCCTTTTAATACATCTTTTTTCCCCCAAAAAACACTATTTATGCCTATTAATTTCTGTCATTTTTGGACAGGTGCTTTGGCCCGAATGTGGTTGGGAGCCAGTTTCTCTCACATATTTGATTACTTCTTCCTCAGTCAAAAAGGTATACAGAAAGGCAACCTTGTATGTCCACCCTGATAAGGTTCAACAGAAAGGTGCCAGTCTTGAACAACAGTATACTGCGGAGAAAGTCTTTGATATCCTTAAGGTACTGCATCTATATTCTTGGTATTTATATGATTTGACTTGGCTATGGTTTTTGTTATCCATACTCCGTATACTGTTTAACATAGTTTATGAGCTGTGATTGGATAACTGAGTGTAATTGTCATGTGCCACTTTGGCAATCCCTAATTTTTATAGTCCTAAATTTGAAGAAAGATTCAAGATCTGAATCTGAAAATATGCTATTTCATGGATAGGAGGAGATATGATTTATTGTTAGTTCTGTTGGAAAAAATTATTTATTTCAACCTTTTTTTTTCATGGAAACTGGTATTTGATCTGACAATTATTGTCAACACTCTTATCCGTCTTTGAATTGCAACTTCATTTCTTTGCAAACTAACAATTGAATGATCCTTTGTTTTGCTAGGCCAAATATTTCTTCATAATTGTAACTAGGGCTAATCTAATTTCATGTAGGATGACTAAACTTGCTAATCTAATTTTATGTTAGATGACTACCATGCTGCAATAAGATTATAGGGAAACAACCCCTGAAATGAAACTCTTAGGCCTTATAACTGTTTACAGATTTCATGATAATAGGATTTATTCTTTTATCATTCTTGTGTAAAGTACTCAAAACTACAGTGTAAGATTTGTCAAAGGCATGTTAGCTAGTGATATATTAGGATATATTGGTTAGAGGCTAAGGAGCATGCAAGGTGGTAGAATTTGAGCAAAATACAACTCAGACACAGGGAGACCTTCCATTTTTTTTCCTTTTTGCTACAAGTAAAGGTTGTTGCCACAACCTAGGTTTGAACCTTTATTCTCCTGGGGTAGAGAAGAGGACATGGCCACTGAACTATTGCTTAGCAGCTACAGGGATACCTTACTTTTTGTTAGAATTTAATACTTGACAGGCTGGCTACATTTGGTGAAAAATATTAGCTATATTGAACTATGAAAAAACTTTCAAATTCTAATTCAAAATATAGTTGAAAGCGCTACAAATTTCGTTTAAGTGTAAAAAGAAAACCAGCGTTGAAGCTATGAATAACAGAAAATGAAAATTAATTTCAGGGTTGTAGTATTAATTGTTTTTACAGTAGCTGTCTCACAGGGGGGTGTGTGTGCGTGCGCGCGCGCTTTATATGTTGTTTCAACTACATTGTTGATACTGAAACAACCTTTTGTTGAAAATATGGCATTTCCTAAATTAGGGGTGTAATTTTGCCCAAGGATAGGTGAAGGCACTGAAAAGTAATTTAGTCTATTTCGACGGGGAAAGATAATTTCCACCATTATGATTTGTTGGTAGTTGTTTCTATTTGTAACAAAGAAGATGATTGCTGCCTCTCCGTACATATCATGCTAACATATGCTTTGCTCTGTACTTAACATTAACTTTCTGCCTTGTAACTCGGTTTTTTCTGGCTTCTGATTACCTTTAATGCCGATTGATGGTCTGAAAGGGTTTTTTTTTTTTCTTTTTCTTCCCTTGAGTGTATCAGCAACTTAGCTATTTAACAACTAGTTGTCTTTTATCATTTCCTTCTGGCTTTAAGAGATTCTCACCAATTCTGTTGTGAACTTTTCTTTCTGTCGAGGAAAAATTGAAGTGAGTCACAAAACCTGTTTCAAAAACTAAAAAAACATATATTGCCAAATAGTAGATGACCCTTTGTGAGTGTTAGTTCTTGTTTTTCTCTATGTCCATTGTAGATTCTTGATGGAATTGTCATGGTTATGATTTGATCTTGTTTCTTCAGTTAATGGTTGAGATAGTGCAAATACTGTTCAAGTTGGTTTACATTTTTCAGTGGATTATGATGAAACAGGAAGCATGGAACAAGTTCAAAAAGGAGGAACTATCCTGAAATTTGAGATTGAAAGGGTTTAACAGATGATCTGTTCGAATGTTGAAACTACTTTCATTTGACAAATTACAGAACTTCCATTTAGAGATGAAAGATGTATCATGTTCATCGGAAGTGCTCTTCTGCCGCTTGCAAGATGCAGACCCCTAGTATCGTTTTGAGTCATTTGTGAAGGAGGTTATAATCCATCGGCTTCGGATCCTTAATATGGTGTATGTTGTAAATTAGTAATCTAGGGCCTCTTCCTATAGACATTTGCAAGTTTGTTCCTGTCCTGCCCTGGCAGAAATTTTAACGGTCATTGTACTTCCTTGGTGGAGAAGCTCTTTCCTTTTTTAATATGTTGTTTTGTTAAAATATATTTTCTGAGGGTTTAAATTATTATTCAGTTGTAATAATTATTCTCTCTCACCGGAGCTTGATCTGTTTAATAGTGCAAAATAGGGCTCTTAATATTCTGAGGATTTCCATAGATACACCATTATGATCCCTTGAACTGTATAACATGCCATAAGGCAAATGATATGCCGTACATTGTTACCGGAACAACCGACGCCTCGCAAAGTGATTTAATCAGGCGTGCTTTCCAGTGCTTTCATGGTTAAGATTTGTCTTTATTTGGGAGGAGGGTGGGGAAGGAGTCTAGACTCAAAAAGGCTACGGACATCATCAAGAGATGATTTGGTCTCCATGATTGAATAACTCTTGCTAGGAGTTTTCTGTTTTAAAACTGTTTTTATACTTTAGGTTTTCTCAGAAAGGGTAAAAGTCCGATATGAACAATATTCCATATCTATATTTAGGTTGCACAACTGGGTTTTGCCCTCTTGAAGTTGTCAATTGTCTTAACCAGATTTGGGGTTTGTTTTTAGTCTCCATTGTAAGTTGTCTGTTCAGACTGTGTCTCTTTTATACTTAAATTGAGAGCTGACACTACCCAAGTGTCCATTCTAGTAGGTGGATCCAACTTGATTGAAATACATGCTTCTCTCAATACGTAGTGGTGTATGCTATTATTGCTCCTGTTTTTATATTTGCAATAATTTAATAGAACTTTAATAGAATAAGATGAGCTAATTGGATCCGTAATTAGGCCAGGGAATGTGGACGGAAATTTTTCATCAAAGTAATGATACTAACCAAACACATGTATAGAAAATTACCCATAAGATCTTCTGACAAATGGTAAACCATAATTATCTCTTTCCACAAAACTATAATTTGGTTTGAAGTCAATCCCCTTGATGCTTGGAGATTCTTCCTCTATAAGCCCTCCACTAATCCCACCTAATTATGACAACAAACGAAATTAAGTGCATATTCTTTATACATATACACACACACACACACACACATACGCACGCACGCATATATGTAGTTCTTTCCACTATGATTCTTCCACCGCATGCCGTCCCGCTAGCTTACTAGGGTGGCCGCCGCCGCTACTCACTGTGTCGTGTACGTACACGTGCTTCCACTTATTATTATATATATACGTATCTTTAATTAATTATGTAAATTCATGTTTAATAATGATCGCATGTTATCATTACGATAAATAGTAAAAGGAGATTCTAAAAGTTTCATGCTCTCTAATGTTCGCCAAAAGCCAAATTTATGATGCATGTATTAATTACCAACATGGTTTGCTCATTATGAATTTCTGCCCATATAGCTTGTAATTAAAATACCCTTTGGTACTTACACTACCATTATAATAAATACTATGATGGGTATCATAAATTAATTTCATAAAATTGTGAAATTTATTTATTTTTTTAAATAGAAAAGTGAAATGAAACCTTATTGTTATTATTCTGTTTATTTAATTTAAATGAAACACATTTCTTCCATACTATTTATACTATCTCTGTGTGTGTGCGTGTGTGTGTGTGTGTGTGTATATATATATGTTATATTGTTTATCATTTTAAAAAAAAAAAAAATGATATCGATTTTGATTCCTCTCTGCTTGCTATTCAAAATGGATGGCCAGTACACGGCTCTTTTATCTATCACATGTAACACACTAATAATTTTCTAAACTTAACAAACTCTATCCATCACCATAAAATACAACACTTGGACTTCCAACATATATACATATATATATATATATATAAGAAATTGATGGGTATTAAAAGTCACACGAGAATAAATAACTTTCTTTCTCTCTAAATTCTATTATTCATGAAAGTGAAACCTAAATTCTGAAAGATCAAACATAAATTCTTGGTAATTGGGTTTATACATACATATATATATATAGCTTGGAAATGGCTAGCTTTACCCTTTGAAGTCAAGTAATCATTTATCATATATAATACAACAAACCCATATCATATATAAGCATAATAATCATAATTTTCCCCAAAAAAATTGGAATTTATAACCCAAAAAAAAGTTGGCAAAGTTAATATTTTGATAAGAAAACAAATGCCATAATGGGAAATGCATTTTATCTTATTGTAAAGCATAAAGAACCATTCCTTATCTTATGTGCATCTACACCACCCATTTCTTTCTTCTCCTTTTGTCTTTCTCTTTGTTTTTTTATTAGTTCATGGGGGGGGACTGATTTTGATGGAGGCCTTACACTGTATGTGTTGGTTTCAAAATAGTGTTATATGAAGATTCTGAAATATTTATTACCCTACCAATTGCCATCATATAATATTCACCTTACATATTTATATTGATTGGAAATTAAATTATTTATTATGTATTATTTAACATTTCAAATAAAATTATAAAATATTAGTAAAATTTAAATTGTATGGATAATATTTATACAGTACGCCAACTCATTTGTATTTTAGTAATTTTTAATAATTTTTATTGTATGGAATTCATAAAAATATATCTGAATCTAAATTTAAAACAGTTATTGTGCTCGTATCAAATAAAAAAAAATTAGAACTAAATTGAAAGCATACTTGAATCCATAACGGAAGAAAGCTTCATTTTCTGCGATAAATCTTCCAAATGAGCACATAATCTTTTGAAGTCTTTTATCTCTATTTCTAATGATAGGATGTCATAATAGAAAATTTTACACGTGATTTAGGGACCATAACTGCATATTTATGAGCAAACATGTCTGTCAACTTTCTTTATTTCTAATTTGACTCATCACAAAATCAGAAATCACAAATTTGGTCTCCACACAAAAATAACTTACACTTTAGTTTGATAGATTAAAAGTCCGATATACCCTTAACTACATCATATCACTTTTAACCAGACTCAATTAATTTACACATATAAACCCACGTGTTAAATTTAAAATCTAATAATTATATCATTAACTACACAATTATGGTTTTGTATTTCTATTTGTTAACAAACAAATCATAAAAAAATTTGGACTTCAATTGAATATGAAAATGAAATCTTATTTTCATTCACAATTTTATTTTAGTTTGTAGTATACTCTTACTTTTTGTTCTTGCATCATAAAATTAAAATTTCGAATCAAATTTAAACCTATGTTTATTAACTTATAACAATTTCAACATTATCATGATTCTTGTTTATCCTATAAATCTTCTATCAAAAAATAAAACATAATAACAAAAATTAAGGCATGATATATTATGCATGTATGATTTATGTTTATTTATTTGAGTAATTCAATTATGATATGTATTTAATATATTTCTTAATCATTACATAATTAATTAATATTTCCTTTAATAAAATTATAAATTCTTATATAACACAAAATAAAAAAGAATTATATTGGAGAAGAAAAGGGGAAATTGGGTTTTGATACCCTCACCGTCTTATCAGTTGTCCAACTATTCAATCTCACCCCACCACTAATTAATTAAAAATTTATTTTTTTACAATTCATATTTATATGCAATTTAATTAATCGATATGTATGTATGTATATATATATATGTGTGTGTGTGTATATATATAAATTTCCTTCAAAAGTTTATATTGTTGTTTTGTTTTTGTTCTGTTTAAAGCCTAATTTTAAAGGGACAGAAAGTTCATGAGATTCTAATTTTAACCTCCAAACTTTGAAAGGTAAAAAAGTAGTGTGGGACAAAAAGTCACGTGTCGTACCAGAGGAAGAAAAACAAAAGAACAGATTTCTGTAAATTTTTGCAGTTAAATTTCTTACTAAATGAACTTGAAATTACATAATTCCAAACTATAATCATACATGGCCTTGCCCTTCTTTCAATTTCCTAAGAAACCCTTTTCAGGCTTCTGTTACATTTTGATCATATTGACAATAACTTAAAACTCTGATCCGTCGACTTTTGATTTTTGTTTTTTGTTTTTTTTTTTGTGTTGAATTAATTATTCTTCAGACTTGAATGGCTTGTAAGTTTTTAGGTCAAGAACAACTCCTGCAACAGACCCAGCAGCTGCAGCAATGGTGATGATAAGACAAGCAAAGCTCAACACTTGAAGACAAAGCCATCTGGTACTCCACTTTGGAATTCTCATCTGCTTCACGTACATTTCAACCGGGAAATACACTGTCAATGGCCAGAACCCTAAAGCTCCAAGCAACCCAACAATGTCGTTGAAGAAAGGAAGAAGCATTGAAATTAGCGTCGTCAAAATCACGAAGATTGTCCTCCAAACCAGTCTGAAGAGATTCAGTCTGTAGGGTTTAAAACCCGGGATGGGAATGTTGACATCTCTGTTGATGAATTCACTTTCTGGGAATCTTTCTTTTGCATGTTTTTCTATGAAGGCAAACAAGGGTTGACAGAAAACTTGGTATGCACCAATAAGGTGGATAACAATGGCGGCATTGGCTATGTCCAGAATCCAATATGGCTCCGAGAATCCAGTTCCGGTGAGGAGATTTCCAGGAGCAAAATCTCCGAACGCTGCATATCCCATGCACCCGCATAGCATGTAGAAAAGGGTCGTTACTCCTACACTTACAAAGGCAGCCTTGTTCATAGTTTTTGACTCCGATGGTGGCGATTTTATAGTGTCCTGTAAATATATTATAACACCACCATTTTCATCACACCCACATCATATATATACATATAATATAGAATCAGATGTATGTATTGTATAAGTACCTGAATTTCAATGAGGATAAGCGAGAAAGAATAGGCAAAAGCTATATCTCCAAGGGCTTGGAAGCTTCTCCATATTTTTTGAGTTTGTGTTACAGCGCCTACGCTTACTCCAGTTAGACTCCCCTTGATTTTTCCATTTGCTGTTCATTAATCAACCAAAAAGGTTTAGCTTCAAATTGGGTGTTTTTTTTTTTGTTTTTTTAAACAGAAATTTTATGTATATATATAAGTATACCTGCAGTTTTTGCAATGCCAAGGCCAAGGCCAATGGTGGAGTAAGTGAAGGACATGACGGCGGCGACAATGGAGAGCCACCATAGCTGGTCAAAGTCAGGAATCTGAGAGAAAATGATTTCAATAATTCCAAATGCAATCATGTAAGGGTTGCTGTTCATGTGGCAAGGATTCTTCCCACCGCTCTTGTGGCGACAGCTAGATTTCTTGATAGCCCTGTTTAATTAAAATTAATCAAAACACAATTCAAAACCAAATCAAACACAATCTCAAGAATCGATTACTGATAATTACTTACATCATGCTTATAGAGGCAGCAATGGTGTATCCTATCGCAACTCCAAAAAGATTCAAGTACTGAACCAACCCACAGAACTTGACTTTAACGCCGCCTGAGAAAATTTCAGAATTAAACAGAGAGATTAGTTGAGAAAACCCAGATGTGAAATGCAAAAAAAAAAAAAAAAAATGAAAACTCAGATGTGAATTGCAAAAAAAAAAAAAAATGAAAACCCAGATGTGAAATGTGAAGTACCAAGATGGGATTGGACAGCTTCCATGTAAGTATAGTTTCTTTTGCCAGTGTAAGGATCACCGGTGCGGTAACAGGCGGCGAGAAGAGTAGATGTGTAGTAAGTGACAAAGGAAAAGAGGAACATGACGGTCGGACCAGCCACCCATCCGAGCTGAGCAGTGGCCCAAGCCAGGGACAGAACCCCTGACCCAATAACTGCTGTTATAATATGCGCACTCGCAGTCCAAATCGTCCCTGCAAATTAAAAAAAAAAAAAAATTCATTTTCCTTTTTCCTTTATAACTTTTTTAAAAAACTAACCATATATATATATATATATATATGTTTATATAGATTTACCAGTTCTTTTGAGGCGACCATCATCGTCAAAACATTTAGAGCCTTGTGCATGTACATCGAGGGAAATATCAAGGGCAGAGTTCTGAACCATCTTTGTTTCTTCTTTTTAATCAAAGATACGAACAGAGGTAAGCCTTTGTTTCAGAAGATACGAAACAGAGAAACAGGGAAACAGAGAGACAGAAACCCGAAAGAACAAGAAAATAAAAACGATCACAGAATCTGTTAATATCAAGAAAGAGATAAAACAAGATTATACGAGATGGATAATCTGGTCCGTAGGTTGATGGATCTGGAAGTCCAGTTATGGGTGTATATGTGTCTGTATAACCAGTTTAATTGTCAGTACTGCAACTGAGACTTGAGATATGTAAATAGATACATGCATACATACACATACTCCTCCCCAGCATCACAAACCCCTAATAGAATTAGATCTTCTCTTCTCTTCTCTTCTCTTCTCTTCTTCTCCCAATTGAAACAGAAGAACCCAGACCCACAATAGAACAGAGGAGAAGAAGAGAGTGAAATGATGAATATTCAGCAGAGGTGGGAGAAGATGGTTCGTAATAATATATAGACACACCTATATATATAGGGTGAAAAGAGGTGTAAGGGGCTGTATAAGCACGTGGTGTAAGAAGAGAGTGACGTACACCATTGGATCGACTCAGTTTCTTTCGATTTGGTCTGGTCTATCACACGTCTTGGACATGGAAATTGAAAACTTTTTTTCTTTTAAAAAAATGTGATAGAAATGTCTTCTACAATTTCAATTATTCATGGCTGCCCCACACACCCTCCTTCTCCAAAAACTTATATATATATATATATATAAATATAAATCAACTTATAAAGAAGATGATAAAACAAAATCCATAGTAATAAAAGAAGATCTCTGGTTCCAGATTGCCCTTTGTTTTTTTTTCCTTTATTACCACCTTTTTCTTACCTCTTCGTACTATTCTTTTTTTTTTCCTCTTCCCCCCCATTTAAACTCTATATGTAATTATTTTACTTCTATTATCAATTGATTAACTTAATTATTATATTCATGAATTTAATGCAAACTTTTAACCCAGAAGAGAATATATTTTTTAGGTTTAGGAATGAGCAACGAGGCATATTTTAATTTTCATACCTACCCTCTCTATTAGAATAACATTAATTATGTACAATAGGAGATGTATGAAAGATTAATTTTCTATCTACACACACCTTATATATATATATATATATATGCTGGTTAAATATTATTATCAACCTCATTAGAAATGAATTCTATTATATCATATTATAACATCACTCCAACATTGCATCGATACAATTTTGTAGTTTGACATATAAAATCAGGCCTTCAAAAAACATTCAAGTAAGAAAGCTAATTTAGGGTGTTACCTTAAATGAAGTTTGTGTGGCAGGCTGGTTATGCTTGTAGCTCTTTGATATGTGTAGAGCAACTCCTTATATGTGAATGGTGGAGTGTAAGTATGTATGTATGTATGTATGTATGTATGTATGTATGTATATATATGTGAATGGTGGATTGATGTTATGTGGGTGTGGGTGTGGGTGTGTTTGGAATGGAGGAGAGAGTTGGTTTATATAGTGAAGAAGGAGAAGAAATGAAATAGTAATGGAGAAAGAAAAGAGGACCTTCGAATTGAAACTCTCACGTGTGTGGCTTCTCATCCATCCTTAATTGAACCCCGAATATGGTTCCTTCTATTCATTATTTTTTTACAGTATCTTTTTATATATATATATATATATATATTTTCCAGTCAAATCTTTCTTAATATATATTAATTTTTTAATTAAATTTGTCTCACCACTTTGGAATTTTTATTAAAATTAAATGTCCAAATTGCCAATTTCATATAATATAATATATATATATACATGTATATATGTATAGCTGGACAATAATTTAGTATCAAAATATTCTCCATCTTCAATTAGTTCCCTGTGAATGAGGAAAAAGAAAGGTTATTAGGCTAAGGGAATTTGTGACCGTATATACCGCATGTCCTCTTAACTATTTATTAATTATTAATTTCTTCTTCTTCTTCTTCTCTTTTATATATATATATATATATATATTTAATATTTAGTTAGTAAGTACATATTAATAACAACATAATTTCATAATAAAAATATATACATGTCCGACTTTATTCAAAATTTTTATAAAAATTCTTGAAAATACCAACAAGTAAAATATATGATAATATGTATATTTAAGTATAATTATATATATATATATATTGTTGTTTTAAATATAAGTGGAATCTCTAAGAATCCATTAATGAGAATGGATTGAAAAAAAAAGTTTAAACCCAATATCTATCGCGATGAATATAAGTACGAATTATATATGTTGATTGTGTATCGATAAAATCATTCAATTTAAAATAAAAAAAAAAACCATAAATTTAAATAAAAGAACTTACTTCACCTACGAATAAATATTTCGTAATGATTTCATAAAAAAATAAAAAAAAAAACGATTTATTCGCTTTAAATTAAAAAATAAAATGTACATTTATATATATATATAGTAGCATACTAATTATATCACCACTATATATAGGAGGGGGTAAATTAACACAAATTTGAAAAATGTGGAACACACTCGGCATTTTCTTGTGTTCATCATTTAGAAACCCACTTAAAAGATTTTCTTAGTGCCCTATTTTTTTAATATGCTAATTAGGTCTATTAATTTTTTATTTCAATTTATGAAATTAACATAAAATTAGATATTTGCCTGTTTAACAAGATTACTGAAAAATAAAGTAAATTTAAAATTTTCATCATAAAAAAATACTACTTAATTAATTAATTTTAATAAATAAGTTTGTTAACCTATCTGCGATGTACGAGAATATTATCATAACGAAATTTTTTTTTATTCCTAATATCGTCTGTAAATGTAGTCACATTGTCGAACCGCATAAAATTTTTTGAATTCTTTTATTTTTATGATTATTCTTATGTGATTGTGCATGCTTTACGGTAGCTTATGTGATAATTTTATATTAATTTAATGAGTTTTTTTTTTATAGTTTTATAGTTAAAAATTTTGTATAAATATGATTAATTATTTTAATTTTTGAATTTTCTATGTTAATTTTAAATTAAATGTGTTGTTAAAAAAAATATAAGGGTTGGATTGATTAAGTCCACATCTTCTTTCACTTCAATTCGGTCTTAGTTTGAAAGTTTTACACTTTAAATCTATGGTCTAATTTGATTTCAAATCAATCTTGAATTTCTAGTCTAATTTGATTTTAAATTGATTTAGTGCTCGTATATATACATATACACACAAAATTACAATGATGAATTTGTTTAAAATTGTAAATTTTATAATTTTTATTTTATTTTATTAATCATGCAATACATATATATCAATCATAACGTAATTTTTTAATAGATTCGTATAAAAGTATATAACATAATTCAAATACATAATCTTTTATATATATAGAATGATAAGTACAATTATCTAAGGGATACACCACATCAATGTTGAATTGTCTTAAAGTTTGGATGTAATTGAAGGAGTATAAATATACATCTTTCCAAGGCATATATAGATGTAGATGTTTACTCTTTCTATTCTTCATACACGTATGGATGAAGACAAAGAAATATGGTGTAAAGTATATATATATATATATCTACATATATATATGCAGGAAGGACTTGTTAATTCAATACTTTCTTTTATAATAATATTCCTTCTAATCCATCTTAAAAAAACTATTGCAGAAGAATCATCTCGTTGTCCTCCAAAAAATGCTTAGCCTGTTGCTACATCTAGATAACATACACTAATCAAACATCATAATATGTACACATTATATATGTAAATCAAATTTGAAGCTAGATATTAATTTCATGTACCTTCACTGGTATGCATGCATGTATGTATGCCGTGCTTTCTATGGGGGCATTATATATAGTATATATATATATATATATGTTATTTAGTGATAAAGAATATTATTATATTAAGTTTTTATTAAATGAGACTAAATTCTTCAAAGACTCAATCTTCTTTTTTATGTCAAGTAAAACATTTTATTAATATATATGTATTTATGTCTGGTGAGAGGACCAAACTAAGAATATTACGGCTAGATGGTTATAACAAAACTTAGTAAAAAAAAATTAGTGAAGGTTTGAGCGAGCGACGAGTTTTATAAGACAACAACTGGGGCGAGAATCACTTAAAATTAGATGAAAAGTCTAATGATATACAGAATCTATACTATATAAACCAGTCGACATATATATACACCTTATCGTGGTTTACGATTTTTATTTGAGCAAAAGTATTTAAAAACCTTCAAGCATTATTAATAAGTGATTCGATGGATGAGAGTAAAAGAGAAAAGCATGTAAGTGATTCATTATTTCAAGCACCATAGAGAGAAAGTATTGATCGCCATGTGTAAGAGAAGCACAAGTAATTATCTCTCTTGTTGCTGTTTGATTCAAATAAGTACACATTGACATAGTTAGGTTTGATTATTGAGTCTACTATTGATAGATACATATAGCTTTAACTTATCGAATATGTTACATGTGATGTATAGATTTTTTAGCATGTAGACTCTGATTTTGCTAATAGCAAAGATAATATATGATTAGTGATGCATAATAAAATATTTTATAAAATAGTTGAGCATAAGACTTTACTATATCTTTTGATTGATTAGGTCAAAAAAAAAAATCTAATTTGTCACTGTGAGTGAGGATACCCTGACTATTTTAATGTCACAAGGTGAGGTGTAATGTAATAGCCTTATCAAGGGACATTGTAGGAGCAGATGTTGTGTTGTGTATGCTTTCATTTGTCCATAAAACCTACATGGGAAAATAGCATTATTAGGATTACTATAACAAATACTTAGCAAGCTTGATGAGGAATAAAATATCATTAGAGCTTATGTCAACGAAGGATTTAGGATAACTAAAATAACAATCAATTTATGATTTTTCTTTTCAAATATGGGTGTTTGAATGAATTAATGTTATTATAACTCGATTTGTATGCTGACTTAATAAAGTACTCTCAATTTAGAGTAAAGTTCTAGCTCCAAGAATCCAGAGAATTGGTTTATACATAAATTGGAAGATTGATTATGTTGGAGAGGATATCACGAGGGAATCCTTGTTATAATGGGGGAATGAATATTCTATGTTTTTATGATGGGGGGGTATGAGACTTTGTACACTAGTAGATAGGATTCTCGAGTA